GCAGGTCTGGGGGGACTCCAGGGTCTGCCTGGGGTTAGGGGGCTCTTGGGGGGTGTAGGGGGTGCGTGGGGGTTTAGGGCACTCCTGGGTGCTTGCACCCCACTTTTTCCCCCGCGATACTGCTCTCCTCGGCCCGAGCACGGAGCGTCAGCCTTCCCCTGGAGAGGGACAGCTCGCAGGCAGAAATCGCCCCCCCCTGCCCGCATCTGCCTGCAAGGAGGGGAGCAGCTTCCTCCACGAGACACAGCAGCAGTGCGAGGTTCGATGTGGCGGCATGTTTTCCTCAGCCCTTCTCCCTGCCCGTCGGTGGCTGATGGCAGCGTGGGACACACCTGCCCACCTCCCTGCCTGCATTTAGCTGCCTGCACCCTGCCAGCCACAGAGCAGGTCACCATTGCTTGTGACGAGTGGCAGGGGCAGCCCTGAGAGCAGCATCAGGTCAGCTCATCCATCCCCTAATGCAACCATGTTTACACTGTAACTTTACTGCTGGGATGGCACCCGTCCCCTGCTCTGCACCCTGGTTGCCTCTTCCATGGGGCTGTTGTGTTGGGCAGTGATGGGCAGAAAACCCTCCCTTGCAGGGGGAAGGGATGGGGGAGCAGGGAGGATGTTTGGGGCAGGGGGTGGTTTTGCGGGCTACTGGCACTGGGCATCCATCCCCTTGCTCGTAGCAAAGCGCCTTAAAAGCAAAGGCGGGGAGACCAGAATTTCAGAAATTTCTGAGCTGTGCAAAGAGAGCAAACTTCCATCCAGGGACAAACATTAGCAGGGCTGGAAGGAAAAACAGTGATGGTTTTGCAATTCACTGTGTCACCAAGGAAGTAGCACAGCGTCGGCTGCCTGAGGCCAGGGTGCTCTGAAACCACTCGTCCCCGTGTCCCTGGCCAAGCTTTTCCCGCTGCACATAAAGGACTTGTTATTTAGGTCCCCAGCAAAGAGATCCTCGAGTTTGAAAAGGGAGCAGGGAGCATGGGGCTGGAAGGATGGGGCAAGGTGCAGCCATTTGCCGTGGCTGCCAAGCACCCAGCACAGCTGGCTGGGAGCAGGCGAGGTGTAGCGCGTCCGCGCACCTTACCTGGAGCATTTGCACCCACAGGGTTATCAATGCTGAGAAGTCAGAATTCAACGAGGACCAGGCGGCCTGCTGTCAGATCTCCATCCGGAGGAGAGAGCCGGGCCTGGAGGAGGATGAGGAATGGCTGATCCTGTGCTCCACGCAGGTATAGCCCACGGGCAGGCTGTGCTCTCCCTGCTGCCAGCCCTGGTCTGCACCCATGGGCCCAGGTACAGGGAATACAGGGTTACCCCATCATGCCCACATGCTGAAACTCTTCCTTGGACACGTTTAGGGACCCATGTACCCTATGTCTGGCCAGCAGATGCTCAGCTCTGCCCGTATGTCCCGTTTCGACTTCTGTGGCCCCTGCCTTGCAGCATCTGAGGTCGTCCAAGCCTTTTACTTGGTGCCCTCACCTTTCCTTTACTGTCCTCACTCCGCTTTCAAGGGCCGGTGTGTGTTGTCATCACTCGAGGACAGCAGCGTGAACCAGACACACAGGATGCCCTCACCTGGGAGCGGCTCTGCCTCGCCTGTTGTAAAATGGAGTAGCTCCATCTGCCCTAAAACACAGAGGAATAGCGCATGAGGGTGGGTGGCTGCAAATCCAGCTGCTCAGAGCTCAGATGACGGGTCTGGCAGAGCAGCACATGGGCATCACATGAGTTTGAGCTGTGCAGGGGATTAACTGGCAGCAGGGAAGGGTAGCTGGAGTGGAAGAGCCAGGCAACGTCCTGGCTGTGAGCCTGCCATCTGTACAACCTCTCTCCAGCCCCTGTCTTCCCCCTTTCTGAAGCTCCCCTTCGTTGTCTTGTCCCTTTTCCCCACTGCAGTTTCTGACTGGTTACTACTGGGCACTGTTTGACGGCCACGGTGGCCCAGAAGCCGCCATCATCGCCTCCAACTATTTGCACTACTGCATCAAGCAGAAGCTGGAGGAGGTTGTGGGAGGCATCACAGAGGCCCGTCCCCCCATGCATCTGAGCGGACGCTGCGTTTGTGACAGCGACCCCCAGTTCGTGGAGGAGAAGCACATCCACGCTGAAGACCTGGTGGTGGGAGCCCTGGAGAATGCCTTCCAGGAATGCGTGAGTATGCCATGCAGGGCACTGGTCCTGCTGACCCAAGCAGTCAGTCTGTCTCTCCCTGCTTCCTGGGGTGGGCAAGGTCTGCAGTTCTGCAGCTCATCGAGCAGGCAGGAACACTCGGCCATACCTTTAAGCACGCTGAGATCACATCGCACTGGGTCAGCTCCCCCAGATCTGCCTCAGATCTGTTGCACGTCAGCAGTGCTGACCCAGAGCAAAGCTACAGCATCTCTGCTAAACTGCAGCCAGGGGATACGTTTCTTTAGGGCCAGATGGTGGCTATTGTTAGGCTCATACAGCACGTACAGGTTTGAGATCTCCCCATCACACTCCTAAAGCGATCCTTAGTCCAGTAGCAACAGCTTTGTTGGCTGTACTGAAGCAACATTGTCTTTTGCCTTGCTGGTTTCCCGTGGCCCATCTGCAATTGGTTTTGGCTCTGGATTTCTGCTGGGAGGCACGAGGCAGCTGCAGAAAGCAGCAGCCTAGCTCACATCACTCTCCAGACTTTTTTAAACCAACAGGATGAAGTCATCGGCCAGGAGATGGAAGCTACGAACCAGACGGGAGGCTGCACTGCTCTGGCTGCCCTTTATTTCCAGGGAAAGCTGTATGTGGCTAATGCTGGGGACAGCAGGTGAGCCACAATAAAAGGGGGAAGTTGCTGGGGGATGAGAGTTGGGAGATAAGCAAGGTTTCCAGCATCTTATTTAACCCTATGGAAGGTAAATGTGCAGCCCAGCCATTTCCTTCCTGCCTGCCACAGGACCTGTTGGATGGAGAGATGCTCTCATGCCTCCTGGAAGGGTCTGGGGATTTCAAGGGACTAACGCTGCCCAGCCACGGGGCAGTATTGCGATGGTAGTGCAGCAGTAGGCTCAGCCTGGAAGGTGTTTAGAAGTGGAAGGTGATTTCCAAGCATCCTAAAGAGCTTCCTCATCTGGCCTTGGCCCACTGTTCCCCTAGCAGTGAGCTCTACATTGTCAAACCAGGCAGGCTCAGTTCTCTGCTGCAATGGTGCAGTTGCAGCAGTTATTTACAATACACCAGCATTTTTAAAACATTCCTGGGTGCAGAGCTATTCTCTGGCATTGCTCTGCTGCTGGTTACCCCCGATCCCACACCTGGCTGACGCTGGGGCTAACCTTGGTAAGAGGAGGGCTGCAGTGACAGACACAGCTCAGCTCTTTGCCTCTTCCCCCTCATAGGGCGATTCTTGTTCTGAAGGACAACGTCGTGGCCATGAGCTGCGAGTTCACACCCGAGACAGAGAGGCAGCGAATCCAGCACTTGGTGAGTGACTCCTTCCGTGCATCAGACAATCCAGCTGCGAGCATCCCACTGGGTCAGAGAGGGCTTGCGGCAAAGAGGACCACCAGCTTTCCTCAAAGGCCACTGTGTGGCCAGAATGTCATCTGGCACTAGCCAGGGAGGGCTGGGGGCAAGATTCAACGAACAGCCTTTAGTATGGGAGATGCTCACATCCTCCTTGGGATGTGCTTTCCCAATTCTGTTCTCCATTCTGCTGCTAGGAGTGCCAGTCCTGAGGCAGCAGCAGTTTTGGTGCCCTAATCTGCTGAAGCAGAACCTGTCCATCCTCACACCTTTGTTCCCTCCTCCAGGCTTTTCTTTTCCCCAAGCTCCTGGACGGTGAGTTCACACGCTTTGAGTTTCCACGGAGGTTGAAGGGAGATGACGTGGGCCAGAAAGTCCTGTATCGGGATTACTTCATGGAGGGCTGGTGAGTCCTTTCTGCCTGAGGATAAGGGTGAAGCACAGGGCAGCTTTACCTGCTCGTAGCAATGGGGAGGTGAAGGGAGAAGGGGCATGCCCCACTGGTGAGAGCAGTGGGCTTGATGGTGCAAAGCAGATCAAGTGAAGGATGCTGTGAGCAGCCTCCCCCTTGACTGAAGGACTGGGGCCCTGGCAGGGCAGTTAGGGAACAGCTGAAGTGGTCCTTCTGGGCTCCTGTGAGGTGGGGCTGGTGCAGGTACAAGCTGGGGAGGAAGGGGAGAGGGAAAAACACCTGGGCATTCAGCAAGGGGTCATATTCACTGCATCTGCTTCAGCAAGTCACTTTTTCCCTGCCTCAGTCAGCTGCCTGTGCGTGGGGGCACCACAAGGGTCAAAATGCTCTGGCTGGGTTGTACCTTCAAGTCAGACAAATGCCAAATCAACGGTGAATTCTCTGTTCTAGGGGATACAAGACAGTAGAGAAAGCTGACCTCAAGTATCCTCTTGTCCATGGTCACGGAAAGCAGGTAGCTTAATGCTTTACACATTGGGAAGGCAGAGGCAAGTCTGCTGGGGGTCCTCAGCGTCCCTGTCACTCACAGTCATGCTCCAGGGCACTACAACAGACTGGGGCTGCAGAGCACCCAGTGCTCTGGGGCTCTCCAGCATGGCACAGTCCCACAGCCCCGACAGAGCAGCTCCCTTCGCTAGCACCATGCTGCCTGGTTAGTGTAAACCAGAGCCCTGTGGAGCAGAGGGGTGGCACCCTCCTCCAGGGTACCTGCTAGTGGAGCAGACAGCAGCCCTGAGCCAGCCTGCCCTTTCCTCATCTCCCTTTGCACACAGGAACTCATTTCACATGAGAATTTATTTCATCAGACCCCACTTTGGACTGTCTCCTCCAGCTCTAACTAGTGCCTTTCCCACAAACCCTCTTCCTCAAGGAGAGGCTGAAGAAAGGAGCCTGGCGAGG